ATCAGTACAAATAAGCATCGTTATAAGGCACCGCCCCCTTTTGCCCACCCAACCAGCGCCAGGTGTGGCCACTAGCCTATATAAAGGCCCAAAATGGTGTGTTCCTTTCTGCTCTGACAATGGCGTGCCCATTCTTGCGAGATGTGGTGGATGAAGAAGCACTTGTGCTCAGAAGAGCCTTCAGGCGAGAGAGGGTCTTCAGGGACCGGTTGGACCCACTGGCCTTCCCTGATGACGACAGTGGTCGGCTGCTGAAGGACCAATATGTGTTGAATTATTTTAGTTAGTATATGTGCTTTCAGTTTTGGCTAAATATGTCCTGCGGTGGCAGAGGAATTTGGAATTCATGGGTATGTGAGTAAAGAGGGTGTGCTTGAACAGGGCAGTGGGTGTGTTTGTGTAACTATGAGTTTTTATTGAGAAATAACAGTATATCCACAGTTTTCAAACACAAGCGGTTTCTCCTTTTACAGACTATTTCCCCAGCCTTGGAAAAAAAACCTGTTCACATGGCACAGATGAGGCTGGGGTACACAGGAAATGCTTGGATAATTCATAGAGGGTTGGGTAACTATATATGCAATGTATCTATCTATAGGTAATATATCTTATCTATATCTAATGTCATTTAGGACTATATGTAACTATATCTAGTGTTATCTAACTATGTAACCATTTCTCTCTAACTTGCTATCTAGCTATTTATTGATCCATCTCTTTATCTATAGTGATTCTCCACTAAATACACAACCTGCTACAACACTATAAACTCTCAAAGCAACAACAGCAACAAACCAACTTGCTCTGCAAAGACAGATTCAAATGAACACCACTAAATAGGGATATCCTATTTCTGAACACACTTGATCCGAAGTGATTCACATGATAAACTGAACCAATCACCTGATTCACATGATGTCCGACGAACCCAACTGCTTTGGACGTCACTCAAGTGATTCAAACCTCACTAGTCCCGTGACCGAAACAAGCCACGGCACAGTGGTTTGAAACAATTGCTTTATGAGCTACCGCGCATGTATCGGAGCCTCGGGTGTCAAAGGGCTATCACTAGTCAGGGCATGGGAGCCCATTGTAGTCTAGTCTCTGTGCTGCTCAGACTTTGATGTGAGATTAGCTCTGGGACACAAGGTCACCACTCTCACTGGCCCGGTGCTGCCCCTTCTTCTCATGCTGCCCAAGCTGATCCAGTCTGCCTCTCTGTCAAATCTGAGTAAAAGAAGTCCCACCTAGCTGTTGGACATGAGGGTTTCCACTCATATTGAGCTGTCAACCTTTATAGTCCTTCTTTTCAGTAGGTAGGAGGAGGGAGAAATACAAAATGAAGACATTACTCACAGGTTTCACATACATACAGTAGTAGACCTTTATTATAACTGGTAATAAAAGTTTTTTAAAATCCTGTTTATAACAAGAGACATCTCTAAATATAATGTAACCCAGTACAACACCACCTTTAACTATGACCTCAATAATAAACATATAATTGAATTTATAGATTTATGACAATTTAACTAAAAACAAACATTTTGAGCTTCATAAACACCGATGTTGAGGTGGACGTGTTGCACTGAAATGCATACATTTGTACAAGTGTACCTCACAAAGTGGCTGGTGAGTGTATATCACCACCCACAGGAGGTCACTGTTGAACACTAAAGTGCTGGGGACACATGTACATTTCATTTTGTAAAACATCTATTGTTATATCTATCACATCCTTCAGAAAAGATCATGTGAATGGAGGCACAGTATTCCTGCATATTCTCAAAACATCACCAATACAACAAAAAGGTCATGTGCGGTCAGTCATACAGAAGACATACACCAGAAGACATACAACAGAGAATTACTTGAAGTTGACAAATATATGTTACTGAAATAATACAAATGTCTTCAGTACCAAAGATGGAAGTACATAAAATTCTAACATGTTACTGTACAGATAACTTTAGCTTTCCTGGTGTTATATGCACAGCTCATAGTAGGCCAGTCCTAGGTTGTGTGATTATGAAACTACCACATGTTGATATTTTAAAACTGCATGTAAACATGTTTTATTAAAGCACTTCATTCAAAGAAACTGTTAAAATTCTGGCAATAGTTTGTGTTTCTTAGGAGAGAAATAGTGTCATCATAAAAAATCCAGATAGTTATATACTGTATATGTTGTGCCATGTGCAGAATTAAATACACATCTATATATTGAAAAAAAAACAAGTGATTTTTATAAACAAAAGCACACACATTTAACTGTATGTAAATATTTTATGGAACCACTAATGATTTGCAAACTCTTAATATTTGACAATTATTAACCTGAAACGTCAATAAAACTCGACTTCATTTTACACACAGAAGTTCAAGGTCAGTCACTCCTAAATATCTGCTGCCCTCAGCCTCAGTCTCTCCAACACTATCTGGAGTTTCTCAAGTTACTCAAAACACAGTTATGTCTTGAGATTAGACAACAGTGGTCTGTTTTGAACTCCCAAGTCATTCTTTACCCGATAAGCTTAAATTTAGTCACTGTTTGCATTAGTCTTGACCATCTTGGCAGAACAGTGTCAGTGGCTGGACAACTGAGTGGACCTGGTTCTCAGGTGTGATTCCTATTCCGAGCCAATTGGGCCAGCCACTGCCTAACCTGAGCAAATACAATGCAGATACCGGGTGTGAGGATAGGGGTCAGGAATGCGTTAGGGTAGGTTAAGAATGTCCTGACAACCCCCTCTCTGGGGCCAAATAATGGGTAACCCTGTAAATTGATCTTCCATATGAATACTCTCCATTCTTTGGCACATTGTGTATTATCGACTGTGTATTAAAAGATATATCAGTTAATTAAGTGATGTTATATTTCAGTGTTTTGGATTTTGGTGTTGAGGACATCATTTCGGATCAGATCTGTAAGGTAAGAAGCTGGTGCTGCTTAGGTCATTGAATGAACTACTGTAGTGATGGAGTGTATTAATAGAAATGTTTTGCTAAAGTTGGAAATGACTTTATCACCATCAGCAGCGCTGTTTCTGTGTCTTGGTTGTTCTCTTCAGGACAAGCTGAGGTAACCCAATGGCCCATTTATCACATGGCCAGTACTGCAGAACAGGTAGTGAGTAGGGTATCTCCAAATTGGCATCCAGGTAAGCTAACAGGGTGGTGCCATAGGCCACAGCTATCACTATGAGAATGTGCCTGAAGGATACATAAAATAAAGATCAATACACATAGACATGTTCTAGAAATGATACTTATATACCACCAATTCATTTTGCCAAATGTGTTTTGTATGAAATGGTCACAGTCAACACTTGGGGTCGGGGGTGGACGGTGGTTGTGAAAAGTACACCACACACTCTTTGTTGTGCTTCATGATGTTACTTTTGATGTTTTAATATTTAACCTAGAATATGGCCTTATGGCCCTAACTGTGTGCATCTAAATATAACCATAAAGAAGTTTATCACGCTTTTGTTTCTATGAATGGATGTTGCATTGCAAAAAGAAACATGTTGTCAGTAAACATTTTGCTGCTGTTTCTAGTAAAAGCATTTCCTCATTATGTTGAGAAGAATAACAATTCAGGTCGCATTAGATTTCTCAACATGCATGATGTTGCAGATCTGTAAATAAAGGTACTTTCTATGACACAAGGTTAGAGATAAAAGGAATGAATGGAAAGAAAGGGCAAGGAAAGGTAAAGAGAGGAAAAGAAAAAGGGAAAGGCGAATAGACAAGTGAAAAGGAAAACATAAAAGGAGGAAAGGAAAGGACACCAGTAAGCCAGGACTTACCAGATACCGTGTAGGTAGCAGAATTTCAGCCTCTGCCAAAAACTGCAGCCAATACGGTCACTAATCCAACAAAAGATGGCAAGGATCCACAGAGCCACAAACAGCTTGGCCATTTGCAGAGCCTTCTGGTCAGTCCAGCTGAGAAAGAAAATCGGTGATCGTACCCAATTAAAACTGCTTGAAATACAGATTAAAATGCATTAAAGACACTGGAGTTTTCATACCATCTTATCTCAAGAACAAAAGTGTAGATCAGATAGAGGCCAGAGCAGTTCAATACGTAGGCGTTGGCTGTAGGTTTGACAAATGATAATACCGAGGTGACGACAGTAACCAACAGGACGAGCCTTGAAAATGTTGTCCTTGGTGGAGCAGACAGAAAAAGAAAAAAGATGAAGTGAGGCAAATGTTTAGGAGAGTGGACAGCTTATATGAGGTTATGAGCTTCACACTCTCCCGTATGGGAGCGAGACACAGAGACTGAACAACAGGTAAAATACGCCTGAAGTCTCACATCTGTCTAAAGCTGTTTGTTTCAGGAGGTCTATCTATCTATCTACCCATGATCTATTCCTCGTATCCTGTGGAGGGTCACAGGGGGCAAGGTGTCTTGAGACAATCACAGAGCTGACACACAGAGACAACCTAACTTACCTGTCTTTGGGAGCAAGGCAGAGAACCTTAAAAAACACACACAGGTATGGGGAGAACATACAAGCTCCTCAGGCTCCCCGTCAGCCATGAGGTTCAAACCCAGAACCTTCTTGCTGCGAGGCAACAGTACTAACCGCTGCACCACTGTACTGCCATGTATCCGCAGTTATCATTCAAAATAACAGAATAATAATTCAGAATAATACTAAAGGAAACCACCAAGGAAAATGTGAGATGCAGGTTCTGTTTTCTTAAACCTGAAATAGGCGATCATTCCGGACACTTGGAGGCAGCAAAACCAAGCTAAGTTATGGTGAACATGTTGGTAAACAGTTGCTTATTTACAACTTATAAATCATTTGGTGGTGTCTCTGGCAACCTGGCAAACATAAGACAAGACAAGATGAACCTTTATTAGACCCCCGAAGGGTAAATTCACAATGCTACAGCAGTAAGGGAACATATATAAATCCATTATTTACAGGGAATTGAGTCGGGGCTGTGGAATTATCAAATATTAATTGATGTTTTCCCTCAGATTATGGTTAAATATTTACACAGGACATGTGGAACTCCACTCTTTTACAACAGCGAGATCGCCTCTCTGTCACATTAAGATGAAAACTGCAGCATCATATTGTGTCTCTCCTCTTGGAGCTCAGACTGACTCTGCAGCCAGCACAGGTTAGGTTTCAGAGTGACCTGCCTTGGAAACATGCTATTATCAGTGTGAGTCTTAGTAACACATTTAAAAAAGACAGACTTTGGCCTAATTGTGGAAACATAAATCAGTCATCTGTTGTTGAATTCATTATCACAAAGGTATCTTACCTGTCTTTTACAAAAGAAGGAAACCTCTTGTGGGGGAACCAGCTGGAATATCCTGCTGCCAACACCCAGAGGACTGACAGCTCATCCAACATCTGGCCAGCAAAACTAAGAGTCATGTGGAAGTACACTGAGAAGAGTCCTGTAAGAAGAGAGAACAACTGTCTTTTTAACGTGAAAATAATTTTCATTACAGAAACACAAACACACAAAGACTATAGGAGACAGGGAGTCATACAGTGGCATCCAGTTATTACATTTACAGTAGCATTTGGTTTTCAATCTGCAGGGGTTGCAAAACAAATTCCTCTCTGGTCAAACTGGTTATTATGACAAATGGCAAGTAGCACTGCAACAAATGATTTATTCAGCTAATTGTTTCATCACCAAACAGAGGCGTAAGGCCTAGGTTGATGAAGTACTGGAGCGCACCTATGGCACGCACACACACAATTAAGTTGTGGTTTGTTTCAAGGGCCATGTAAACACTTTTCCTACAGTGGCATCTGTAATTGCCCACACGATCAACTATTAGGCTTTTTTCTCTGCGGTAGAATGTTATAACTGTAGATAATCTTATTACTAGGGCATAATCTCAACAGGGGACCAGTTAGAGGACATGTCGTACACAAAATATGAAAAACAGAAATTTGTCTAGTGTCATGACCAGTCATCAAATCCCTCATTAGAGCTATAAGAAAACTGATGCTTTCTGCTCAAGTGTTAAACTGACTCCAAAATTGGGTTCCTACTTCTTCACACTGGTTTACCTGTCACCTAGTAACTGTGAACACATCAGCTGTGGGTAGGGCTCATGACGGGTCAGCACATGCCAAGGTTTGGCAATTTTGCATCGGCTTGCACCATGTAGGCCTACAGTTCATCACTCATATATACAGGTACAACAGTCTGTTTAAATCCCAACACCACGTAAGGTTAGTGCAAAGTCTGTTTCTGCTGCTGATCATTGCATCTCACATTTGCCTTCACAGCCCCCTCCTGGAGGTTCATCAGTCTGCATGGTCTGAGTTTTGATCTGTCACTTGTCTGTCATAAACAGAGTCTGTAGTCAACACTAAACTGTGTCTCTGTGAGCCATGTTATTTTAATGAATCGGTCCAATTTCTACGGCCTACAGTAGGCCTTATATTACTTTATACTACAATGTGGGCATGCCCCAGGGGTACATTTAGGGACCAGTTCACTTTTCTTATTGGCAAGTACTGTATGTATCATTGTGTCTGATGGTGAGGGTTTAATCTGAAATGTGAGCCGCATGCCCACAAGAATAACAAATTAATACAATTTATGCAACAATCAAATTGCACAATACCCTCAAAACTACTCAGATACAATATGCTCCTTCCAGTTTGGCTTCTCCATAAATGTTCAACAAATCTGTAACAACCTTGCCTCTGCACTGACCCCCTCACTTGCTTTTTTTGCTGTCCTCCATGTTTACCTTTACCAGTCTGTGAGGGAGCGACACTGAATGATGACAGCACATGTACAGAGGAGTGAGACACTGAAAAAAACCACATGAATTCCAATCTGACTGTTTTGACAGTGGTCATATTGTCAAATATTCAATATAAATTGGATCTAGGACCATGTATGGAAGATTTGAAAAAAACAGATTTGGTTTGTTCACATTTCTGTGAAAAGATCAGATCTTGGCATGTAATGTGTCTGAAATAGCAAAACAGATACAAACCAGCATAAAATATACATATAAAGAAAGAAAGAACTGACCTACAAATATCATCAAGATCCAGACCATGTGGATTGCCAGGTTCCTCTCTTTGGCATAAGGGTGTAGAAGGTAGAGCATGATAGGAGATATAATGAAGAATATAAAGTTGCTCATCTGCGGGGGAAAGTGAACCAAAGAGAAAACTATCAAAAATGACTATAGCATATTTTGCATGATATATGATTTTAGGTATTCATCTGCACACATGCATGTTTTCTCAAATGATGTACTGATATAAATACTACATTATGGAGTTAGAGAGTTTACAGTGTTGAAGTACTCCACCACATGCTCCGAGTGTTTGTAGTTGTCTTCACACCAGTCGATTTCTGAACTCTCATAGGAGAAAATTCCTGCCATCTTTTCTCTGAAGTACACACCTGTCAGACATAGATATGGAAAACAATTACCACCGAATTGGTCAACAACCCAGAACGCACCATAATGTACTGTAGCTGTAAGAACATACAAGTGTTTATTAATGAATGTGTTAACAAGCATAATTCCTCCTACAATTGAATGTATGCATTTCCAACAATGTCAACAAACACAGGACATATATTGTATTGTAATTCAGTATATCTGCCCTGCTCCAATATTCATCTTTACAGAGTTTAGTACCACTTTCTAAACAGAACTGTTTATAAGATGTAATTAATGACTTTTTAATAGTTAATAAGCATAAATATACAATTGAATGTATGCATTTCCAACAATGTCAACAAACACAGGACATATATTGTATTGTAATTCAGTATATCTGCCCTGCTCCAATATTCATCTTTACAGAGTTTAGTACCACTTTCTAAACAGAACTGTTTATAAGATGTAATTAATGACTTTTTAATAGTTAATAAATCAGTTATAAGTTATTAAAGGACCAACTGCTAAACTAAAAACTAATAAAGTGAACAGGAGATAAAACAGTATAAACAGTAAATAGCTTATGACTTGATTAAATATTGACTATTAGATTGTGATTAATAATATTATGGGATTATTTTAATCACAAGACGTGGAACATCACAAATACACTACAAACTCACTATGATCACCACGCATGCACTCTAATTTACAGTTATAATGAACTCTGAATAAAAAGGTGTTAACTTTTTGGTCTAAGTGTCATTAATGGATGCATCTTACCACTCATGCCGCTGCTGACCCGGCCTCCAGTCCGCAAGTGTTGCTCTGCTGCAGGTGGTGCAACAAGTGCCTCTATCTGGGTGGAGCGTTGTTGGAGACACTCCCGATCCAGTTGTACGAGGCTTGTCTCTGTAATCTCGAGTCTTCTCTAGACATGAGGCTCAACCGGTCCCTCGGCCTCCTCTGCACTGGGCCAATACCGGACAATTTCAAAATAAAAGCACAAACGTGGTGGTGGCGGTATGTTTTTCTCTGTGTCTGTGCTTTATTAAAAGCAAATTCAAATAGGGGTAGAAACATGACTATCTTTTACTTTGGGTAAATAAACGGAACGGTACTGTAAAGTATTCATTTGAAATTTCACCTAAGTAAATCTGATTGAAGCTAACATCTATGTCAAAGTAGATAGTGGTGGTGGAAGTACGCTACTCAGATCGCTTAAGTAAAAGTAGCAATGACACAGTTACAAGTAAATGTTCTGCATTCAAAATGTTAAGCAAAAGTACAAAAGTATCAGCATCAAAATATACTTGAAATACTTAAAAGTAAATATGCTTATGATACACAAAGGCACGTGATAATGGATTGTATTATGACATTATATTTTATTATTCTATTATAATTATTTTTGCATAAATGTGCACATCACTTTAACGTTGCAGCTGGTAAAGGTGTTTAATTACCTACCAAATTAATTACCTACCAAATTAATTACCTATTTCCCACCTGGGATCAATAAAGTATTGGCTTAATCTATAATAATGCCAGATAATTTATTTGCTGATTGTATTTTTTTGTTATCAATCTGTGTAAATAATGAAAGAATTGGTTTAAAAAAATAACAGAAAGAACTGATTCGGTATTACAGCTACTGATTCTTTTTTCTTTTATTCATATACAAAAACAAATGTTGATTGATTGTGAAGAAATATCATTATTTTACAAAATTCAAAGCAAAATTGATAGAAATAAATGCCTATTTTTATTCAGTCACCTGCTTCAATTTTGTTCTTCAGAAATCTTTCACAACTTACTGATGACACAATCTAGATCAGTGCAGAGGTAACTGAGGTAACAATATGATTTTATTTATTTTTTTGAGTTGACAAAATACATAGAAAAATACCAAACATATTAGTAAAAATTCATGAATAAAAAACCTAAAATTCTTTTTTAAATGACATCAAAAAATATTGTCTCTGGTAATGGCACTGATTCATCTGAAGCAGGTTTGTTATGGTGCAAACATGAAAGGCAAGTTGACTTGTTGCATGTCAACAGATTTTTAAGTACAAAATCTATTATTACTTTATGCTGTTGACTTAATCAAGAATACTGAACAGCACTGGGCTGCCGTGGAGAAAAGGTTCAGGCAAATATAAACATTGTAGACACCATAAAGCAATGCATTATTTTCAGGTTAGTTTACCTTTGAGTCATTTTCACTGACATAATGGCTGAAAGAAGGGCTCTGCAGGAGTGTCGGCAGAAATCCTGTTGTAGGTCATTCTGAACAGGATAGTCCGGAACAACAACAGACAAGAAATCTGAGCAGTTCTTTGCAGTGGAGCTGTGTTTTACCAATTCTACCCATGTTTCCCATGCTCTGCATGTACAGCAGTACATGCCAGCCAGTACTTGCCAAGCAAGTTCAGTGTCAAGTGTCAGGTAGGTCCAACTATTAACAGCCTTTTATGTTGTTATTTACCATGCAACCATGAACAATTCTCAAGCAGCTGCTTATAGCAAACAGTATATGCTACTTTCAGCGAAGTGATATGTTTCTCATAAGGCAGATGGGTCCACGAGGATTGATCGTGTCCTGATCAAATCTTTTCCACATAGTTACCAGGGAAGAGACCTTCCTTTCCTCTAATCCTGCCTGTCCACCAGCCTGATGGATCTGCAGAGAGAAGCAGAGACACATCTAAGTAAAGTCTGTAACATTAATCAAATTCCTTTAGAACCTTATGATCTTTTTTTTTGCATCTGTTCACTCTCCATCTTTTTTATTTTCATCCACACACCTTCTTTGACAAGGTCAAACACATCACTGGCATCAAAGCTGAGCTCGTCCGTGTCCTGGCCAATGTACTGATATAAGGCTCGGCAGCGAGGTCCCTGGGGTCGAGGCTGTGGTTTAGGAGCAGGAGGAGGTCGCTGACTGACGCTCCTTCTCCTCTGCTTCCTGTGACAGAGAAACAAACCATGAAGAAATGAGCAAAGCTGGTGAAGACAGGAACAGGTGAAATTTCTTTTAGACAAACAGTGACAAAAATCAGAGCTGGGGCATCATTGTTTGAAAGAAAAGTTTTCTTGTTTGAAAAGACGCTATCACTTTCTAGATTTTTAACAGATCATTTAAATATAACTATAACTTTATCAGTGCCTGTGAAACTAAAAAAAGCTCTTGGCAAAAAATAGGAACTTTGCATAAAACAGCTACAAGTAACTTTTAGCAAAGAGAAAAATAAACAGGTAAATCTTGTGTTCTTTTTTTTTTTTAATTCAGGGAGTAAGCCTCACCTTAACACACCCTGGCAACTCTTGAAGCCTGTATGCCTTGATTTTTAACGGCTGACCAGTTCCACCCAGACATGAAATGATAATGACACACAACTATCTCACTTACCCTGACATGCCCTGGTCAGGCACATTGAGGAAGTCCATGTTCCCCTGGTTGTACTGGTTGTGGGACGGGACTCTTGGGGCCCTCTGGGCCCTCTGGGAACCCAGTTTGGGCGGGGCTGTGCTGGGTGGCCGGCTGTGTTTTTGTGGAGAGGAATATGTGATATCTGCTTGTTGATTGTGATGGCCTCTGGAAAACTGGGCTGCTCCATTCTGGTGCGCTAAGGAGAGAAAAAATGGACTAAAAGTCAGATTATGAGAAAAATACTTAATTCAAAAATGTACTTAAACACAAGTACATGTGTATGAATAGCAAACTTTTCTTAGATAAAAGTACACAATGTACTGTAGGTGAAATGGCCTCTATGAATGCTTTTACTGCACTGTCCTTGCTGATGCATTACTTTGTAAAATTTTTTTTTTTGTAGCTGCTTTAAAAAAAATCAGGTTTTTACTACTTTATATAGTGTTGGGTAGTTAAATCTAAAACAAGATGACATTCTGTTTATTTCTTCAAGGTAACTGGCAAATGCAGCTGTCAAATAAATGTAGTGAAGTCCAATATTTACATCTGAAAAGTAGTGGAGTCAATGAATAAAGCAGAATAAAATGCAAATAATGAAGTATAACATTTAAAATTTAGTATTTGAGTGTATGTTCTCCATTTCTTTCCACCAGGCCTACAGGGTCATGTCATTGATACATTCAGGTACATTCTGCTACACTGTACATAACAGTGAGAATGGATGAGTTACCTCTGTTGGCTACGTGATTCCTTCTTCCACCATGAGACTGTGGAGCATTCTTCCTGGTTGGCTCTGATGAAGAAAAAGGTTAGTCACAACAACATTTGGATGTACAAGAATCTATGACAACATTTTTGTCTCTATGATTCCTTCTGCCTCGCCTGAACTGATTTCTTAAGTACATACTGTGTCATTATGTCTTTTAACTCACTAGAGGACTTGGGTAGACCGTCCCCTACTGTGATGGAAAGGGTCTTCCCTCCAGGCTTGAGTTGGGCCAGGTCACCTTGGCCCCTCTGGAACACCACCACTCTGGAGCCTCCTCCACCCCAGCCTTCCTTCTTCACTCTGAACTCTAGTCTGAGTCAAATTAAAGCATGTGAGTGGTTTGGATGTGAGAGTTTCTATGCAAATATAGGCCAACATCTGTATGTGTCTACCCCTACCTGTCAGCGAAGGAGATTGTCAGTTTTCTCTTGGTCACCTCCTCATAGCGTTTAGAGAGCAGGCTGAGGAACTCTGTCTTAAAGTTGGACTCCAGCAGACTGTCGTACTGGGCCTCATGCAGGATGAAGAAATCATCCTGTCTTGTACTGAAGAAAAATAAAAACAGACTGTGAAGAACTTCTGAGGAAAAATTAATCAAACACAAAAAAAGTTTAAAATTTCTGAAGAAAATCTATGTGTGCCTGCAGCTGAGGCTTTTTGGTTCAACTAATACTTAATAATGGTTGAATTTCCTGGTGTTTACTGGGATGTTTGAATAGAACAGAACCATTGGTCATGTCATTAGTGACACCTGAGCTTTTCCTACAGTGACAAATGTTTGGTTAAAAAGGACTTTTTGCAGTTGAACAATGGAAGCAGTCCTCTCAGAATGTCCTGCTATGGCAGTAACAGGTGAAGTCAAAGATAATACAGCAAATGTAGTTATGCTGTGTAGGTAACTTTGCTTTGTTTCATAATGGTCATTACATCACAATTTTATTTTTAGACAAATCAAGTGGGAATCTTCCAAAATTTGTGTAACTTTCAGTACAATTCTGAGACGCCTGATAAATAAGGGCCCAGAGGTAGTAACGTGTCTTTTGTAAACTAGAGCCCTACCTGAGAGAGACACCGCTGATGCTTTCAAACTCCAGTTTTCGTTTCAGCACCTCCTTTATCTGTCCTTTCTCGGGTCCTTTCTTCACCTTCTCTCGACCAACAAGATAGATGCCTTTGGGGGTCAGGATTAAATCTCTCTTGATAGACTGGGCGGTGAGACAAAAAAAAGTGAGAACTGTGAGCAATCCCAGAGAGGAGAAGAAGAGTGGGGGGCACTGAGAAAGAGGAATGGTGTAAAGTTATTGTCAAATCCACAAAGATTGCAGCTTTAAAGGCGAAAGAATCAATTTATCTCAAATGTCCAATGTCACTTTCTTTCTTGTTGGTCAGATGTCATAAGACTAAACGTAATGTTTCCCTTTATTCTTTTAAGGACAATAACACCATGCTCCATAAAGCTTCACCTTGAACCTGCGATCAAACTTGTTCACTGAATCAGCAAAGTCGACGCGCTCCCTCTTGGTCAGAAACTGTCGCAGCTCAGGCCTCTGCTCCAGACCGAGGTAGTCTCCCACAAAGTTCCTGTTGATGCTGTTCTTCCTCCGCTCCTTGGAGTTGTACAGGATGTCTGAGGCTGAGTGACACAAGCATGGACATACATTTAGAATCACTGCTTGAAATGTGTGTTTGTTAGAAACAGTATGTATATGCACAATCTTTGGCTTCACTCACCCTCCTCTCTCATCTGTTCATACTTCTTCCTGGCAATGTACCTCCTCCACGCTTTCTGGATGATCCTGGCGAAAGTGTCAAACTTCCTCTCTCTCATCTCCTCAAGCAGAAACAGCTAAGGAACATACAGCGTGTGGACTTAAGTACCATACCTGAGTAAATGTACCTAGTTACTTTCCACCACTGCTATGTAAATTCCACATTTCATTCAATTCAGAATCAGAATCTGCTTTATTGGCCAGGTTTGTCAGACACACGAGGAATTTGACTCTGGTACATCGGCTCAGATATAAAATATGACCCAATCTGAAATCTATGGCCAGTTACCGATTCGGGGTTCTTGACAAAGACTTTGGTTCGTCCCAACTGGTACTGGTCATTATCCATGTTGACAGACTGGAGGAGGTGGAGGACCCCCTGCTGCTCCGGACCCCTCCAGCATGGCCACGTCTCTGCTGTAAGAATGGCATACCTGGGAAGCGCACACATACAGGACACACACCAAAAGTCATATTGAGAGTGTCTGAGATGTTGGGACAAACACACAGAAACAGATGCACCCTCACCTCATCACAAACTTATTGAAGACTCTCCGGTACGCAAACCCAGCTCTCCTCACACGTATGTTTTCCCGAAGTCCTAAGTACTCCACCTGATGCTTAACCCTGAAAACACATGATGTACCACAGTTCAGCAGTGTTTACCATTTGTTTGTGTGCAATACGGACGTAATGGTGAGGACGCTGACCTGCTCTCTTCCCAGTCTTTAGGTCTTTTAGTCTCGTTGGGTTTAATACAGCGGATATAGTGAGGAGTGCACTTCATCAGGGTGTTCACCAGATCATTAGCTTGTTTCTGTTGAATAACATCAGTGTGAAATCCAAGCAGTGTTAAAACCTAAAAACATCCTTCTGTTTTCTGTCACATTGTTACGGAAGAGTATTAGGGCCACTACATAAATTTTTTTTAATTAGGGCCACTGCATAAATTTTTTTCAAAATTCTGACTTTATTCTCAGAATTCCGAGTTTAAAGTCAGAATTCTGAGAATAAAGTCAGAATTTTAAAAAAAAAATTTATGCAGTGGCCCTAATACTCTTCCGTACATCGTAGATTCAGACTCAGGAAAATCAACTCTCACCTTGATCTTGGAGCTAGCTGTGGTCGGCCTGCTTTTCTTGTCTGTATTGAGGTTTTCAGGGAACAAGCTACGGATGAAGTTACTGAAGACAAATTCAGGAGGAATTATTTTGGCATTTAAGCATACCATAAGTGAAAACATCAGACAGAATTAGTTACTTACTATTCGCTGCTTTGCATGAGCTCAATGAGGTCAGGGAAAAGCACATCCCGGTTTCGCTCACAAAAGCCATTGATATCATATGACACCTGCGATGATACCACCAAAATAACCACTGTGTAAACAACCTCCCAAATGATTTTTGAGTCACATTTTTGTTTATCTCCTTTTGGTGTGACTAAAGCCTCAATCATGCAGCATTTATGCAACAAGAACTGCACGCACCAAAATGAGTAAAATACATAATACGATAGGGTATTCAAAGGGAAGTATTTCTGCTGAAGGAGATTTATTTTTACTGGTTTCAGATTCCCACCTTGCCAGCGTAGTGATGTATGACAAAGCCAGAGTTCCAGCTGTTAAAATGTTCATGCGTTCCCACTGCAGCCTGCAGTTTCTGCAGCAGAGTTCCATCTGCACCCTCTCCTTTGGCATGCATGGTAGCACACACATCATCCAGCACACTCATTATTCCAGGAGGGTTCTACAAGGAGAAGATGGCTTGTATGAATTTTGATGAAAAACATCACTGCTTGCAACAGATGCTACATACTATATCTTGAAGTGTCTGGGACGAAAAAAAAAAAAACAAGATCCCCAGTGCAAACATACAGTATAAACAAGTGTTATTTGATGTCAGTATATAATAAAAGAACAAGATATTGTGTTCAACACACATGGTAAATAAAAATGATTCTGATTTTTTGGGTTAAGGTGACAGTTATAATCCTACCAATTTATTTTCAATGAGGTCACACACAATCTTGTTGTTGAAGTACTCGATGGGAGTCCATTTGATGCCCTCCTGAACATACTCTTCCTGAGAGAAGGTTGTAGAAAGGAAAGAGCTCAAATGAAAAAGAACTGGAATAAGTTTTAAGACTTTAATTGAGATATTCACAGCTACATTCAGACAGAGATTCAGAGACATAATTACACAAATTTTGAGATGTGGTAGAATTTACAAACTACCATAACTACCTGCTCAGCTTTCAGAGTGAGTTCAATAAATATTTGCTGCAGTTTCTCATTGACAAAGTTGATGCAGAACTGCTCAAAGCCATTTTTCTGCAGGGGAAATCACAGTCCAGTCATTGTCAGAATATCACCATATGTAAAACTAACATCTGTTGCTTTGGTGGTCACCTATAAACATATAAGTTGTAAGAGGACTGACCTGAAATATCTCAAAGCCGTAAATGTCAAGTACTCCAATACTGAATTCTTCATGTGGCTTTTGAATGGCTTTATTTATGGCCTGCAGAAGAGAAATATATAATGCAACGTGTTCATTTCAACTTGTGTAGGAATCACATGTGGATAAATACAGGATGTTTTATGTAGTTTAATCTGTTTTTGTTGCCACAGTGTTACAAAGTTTGCCTACCTCCACAAGATAGTCGAAGACTCGTGCATAGAGGGCTTTGGCCAGGGCGTCTCGTGTGTAGGTGGCCTGCTCCTGGTTCAGGGTCACGTTGATGGACTCAGACTTCCCACCCCACTTTGAATCCATCTTCCGGCTGGTCAGCTTGTCCTGCAGGCGGTTGGGGTCGATGCCCAGCAGATAGGCAGGGAAGGCGAGTACTGGGCAAAAAGAGGCGACATTATGGTTGAAACAACATATCACCTGTGTAAGAAAGTGCATTATGAAGTTTCAGATATGTTTGTCTGCCAGACTGGAAGTGAACCAGCTGCCTGACAATGTGTCTAAGTGATATTTTCTAAAATAGCATAAATGTATTAATATTAGACAGTTACTGGGGAATGGTAAAATTGCCACCCAAATTATAAACAGCAATTATCTGTTGAGGAGGGACTCAGTTGGCAGCAATCACAGGAGAAGTGGTGGTGCACACAAATTAAATTAGCAGGGTGTCTGCACTGGGACCATGTGCTCAAATTTACTCATATCCCCTGGGAAGAAAACGGGCCAGGTGGGAAGGTGTGTGCACATACATTGATGAGTGAAACCACGTGTGTGAGCATGTATCTGCATGTACGAAGGTGCATCAGGGTGTGTGTCTGTTTAACTCACAATCCATGCTCTCCACTTGCCCATAGTTGCCTGCCTCTATGAAGCTGATGTTTCCCAGGTGGAGTATACCTGCAGCAATCTGCAGCACCTGAGCCTGGATGTCACCTGGGATCCCGATCACCTGCATGGCTTCCTGGAAAGCACGACATAAAAGCAGACAGCGAGGGCTGCAGTCAAATAGTTCTTCCAACCAGAAGAGATGATATTCATACAGTAGGAAAGATTTGTTTGTCAAAACCTATTTGCAATGTTAAGTATTCAGGAGCTTTACTTCAGTAAAAATACTAATACCACACTGTAAATGTGCTTCAATACAGGTACATTCATTCAGCTGATTCCAAATTAGCTTGTGCTTATCCTACTGTTAAACAGTTGTGCAATATTGGTTTGTGGTTCCCAATATTTTTGACTTGTGACCTGATAAAATGAAGCACAGTAAACTCTGCAATCTCTTGTCACAACCCTGCATTACATCTGTGTCTAAGCAGGGCTATCAGGGAGTGATAATCCCATCCAAACCTCACATATTGCTTAATTTAAATAGAGTGTTAGAGACTAAAACAGGTTTAAATTAAGAGAAAGAGAGAACCACAAATTGGAGAATATTTAGAAAAAAACCCATTTAATTTGTGTAGCAGAACAGTGGTTTTCTGTCCTATCTCTGAGCCCTCTGATTTATCTTATGACCTCCCAAACCTCAGGATGGAGGCCACTTTTGTACAAAATGCAGGAGGAAAAGTGAGAAAGAAAAGGAGGAACAGAAGATTAAAAGGAGCTCAGCTGCGAATTTTTCCACGACATCCATTAGTAGTTTAATCCAACTTTATACTAAATCTCTTTGTTTTACAGAAAGTGCAGAAATACATCACACTGGACATAAAAAAAACTTAGAATGTACAGTCACAGTAGATTTTCTCCAGCATATATGTACCATAGTCTCCTGGAAGTCTTTGCTATCATTGGTTCCATCCACCTTGTAGGTCCCAGACTGGTTGAGGTAGTAGTAGTAGTCTGGGGTCATGAGGCCCAGGCCCTCTTTCTGCTGATTGTTGGCGCCCTCTATCAGCTGGAAGACAACAGTGCAAGCAGAGGAGTGATAAAACCAAGAAGTGGTTCTTAAAGCAGGCAAGATAAAGGAGAATTTTTTCATAAGATTATTGTTTTTCACGTGACATCTTACAGTTTATGTTTTTAAGATGTCTGCCATTGATCTATGACTGTAATGTCTCTTTTGCCTCTGACCTGATAGTAAATGTGGAAGTTCCTCTCATTGTCATTCTGGCTCACCACCCTTGACTTCTCCAGCAGGAAGTTTGATATTTTGCCACCGTCTGGTTCTCCTCCTCTGCTAAACTGAATCTCAAAGTATTTACCCTGGCAATGCAAAATTAAAGTCAACAATCAGAAGTGAGAGACAGGCTATCTGGTGGTGACTCTGACAAATCTGATTAAGTCAATAGGTGCAAACAAAAATGTCCTCTCATTGTGCACTCATCCTGACACACTTCTAAAGCCTCATTAAACAATACAATATACTATAAGTAAAGGTGGAATACAATAAAACTAGAAATGGATCAGAATCAACATTGCTTTCAGGATGAGAAAATGTTCAAACTGTTGCAGCAGCTGTTATATATAAAGCTGTTACTTCCATATTTGCTACAGAAAAGAAACTGTCAGCATACTGCTAACTACAGTGACCCACATACATTAGTGGTGAGGGGCAGCTTTATAAATTGGTGTACTTAATCTGCACACACATTGGTTAATGTGGTTTACAGATATCAAGACCCCGCTGACGAGAAATGACAAGATGAAAAGGAATGTCTGTTTGTAAGCATCAAAACAACACTATTGGCTGAAACAATGCTTCCGTGGTGCATTGTAACGTCACAGTTAATGACTGATTGGCCTCTGAGTAAATGTTTTATAAACACGTATTATTTTGTTGGATATTGGTAAATGATTAATGGACTCACAGGTATACAGGTAAAGCTTCTCTATGCACTGAGGCACACTCAAAGTGCTTTAACACTACTTTCTCCTTTCAGCTATCTGCATTCCTAAGCACACACACTGGCGGAGAGCCACTAGGAGCAACAATCTGTTCAATAGTTGCTAAGATATTTCACTGAATTCCACTGTCCCTCTCATGGTAGCACTGACGAAAAGCCCAGAAATCACCAGAGTCACCTGGGAATCATCAGTGTATGTGCAAAATTTGAGGTAACACTGTAAATACTCATTGAAATATTTCAGTCTGGACCAGCATGATGGACTAACCGACTGTCACTGCCAACTCCTCTAGCATGAAAAAGAGGAACTGAAAGTGAGCAACAACTCCAGAGAAGGTACTAAATGTCAAGTCCTCCCTTCTTACTGACTATTTTCTGAAGTGAAAAGAATTGGGTACTTTTGTTAATAAATACCAACCCCAGCACACCCAACATCAGTAGTAGGAGTTAGAGAAAGTAGTAGGAGGTAAAGATCTTACTCACAAAACGACTAGAATTGTTGTTGCGGACGGTTTTGGCATTACCAAAGGCTTCCAGCAGTGGGTTTGACTGGAGGATGATGTCTTTAACATGCTGCAACACAAACACACACACACCGCTGTATTTGCATTCCTTGTGGGGACTTTACATTGACTTATATTCATTTCCTAACTTATCCTAACCTTAACCATAACCACTACTTGCCTAACACCTGACCTTAACCTTAAATCATGTTGCCACCCTAAAATTCAATGATTTCCTTGTGGGGGCCAGCCTCTGGTTCCCACAAGGAAGGCAGAGTCCCCACAATGTAAGTGTGTTAACAGGGTTCATTGCCCATAAAGTAATACAAAGGTGCACACACAGTAATACACTGTGAGGCACACCAGAAATACACAGCAGTAAGTTCATGGGTGTCTTGGGTTGTTTTGAGCCGTGACATGTCTCTACCTGGACTTTTGATCCTCCTCCAGATACTTTAGAAATGTAACCCATGATGTATTTAGCAGCCACTGTCTTCCCAGCACCACTCTCACCGCTACCACAGCACCCCATCAGCATGAAGCCCGGAACACAACGCACCACAAAACAAGGCAGAGTAAGACTGTGTAATATACAACACAACATGAAAACACAGAGTAAAGCTGCTGTGATCACCTGATGATGACACATTGATTCTCTCCATCAATCATCATGTTTCTGTACATGTTGTCGGTCAAGGCATAGATGTGAGGTGGATTCTCATACTGGGCCTACAGAGAGAGATAAAGACACAGCGGTTGGTTCACATTAATGGAGCACACTGTACAACAACATACACAGGAGTTGGTGAAGAAATGCTGAAGATTTTTACTCACAGCTCCTTGATAAAGTTCAATCTCTCTGTCAGTGAAATAGGGCATCTGTTTGAATGGGTTAACCGATATCAACACAGGGCCGATATAGGTCTGAGCAGGGTAGTTAAGGAACATAATGGAAAAGTAAACTTGTGAATCACCTCACAAGTAATTATGTTAAGCAATGATTTACAATAGACATTAATAAATCATTTGCCAGTTGCCTAGTGATCATGACATTTTGTGACTATGTAGTTTAGTTTGAAGTGACATCAGCTGCTTGTGGGTTTTTTTTTTACACTAAATATGGGTTTGAAATTCAGAAGACGGAAGTGAGTTGTTGAGTTGCACAGTAAATGCAGAAGCGGAAGAGCAACTTTCTTGTATTTATGACCATATACTGTATGTTTGTTAGTTATTTGACTGAATGTTTTTGTTCTATTTTCGTATGTTTGGAGGTGGATGTACAGTATATGTTTGACAGTGCAGAACTTTGTGTAACAGGGACAATGAAAGGAAACGTTTTTGATTAATTGTGACTGAAACACAGTGTTGAAGACCCACATTTCACTAAAAGAAGATGAGATTTTCTGTCATTTCTTTTTTAACTTATAGGTGCTTTTGTGTGATAACAACTGAAGGTATATATGAGGAATTCACCTGCTGGCAGTCACATTACTGAAGCATCATGGCTAAACTTCCTGTCCCTCACTTCCCTATGACTTCTTGCTCAAGTAATAAGATTCCTAATTATCTTGCTTGTTTTATCACGCTCAATATTTTCCACTGCAGTGGTAGGTAATGCACATGGTCAATTTTAAATTGTTTAAATTTACACAAAAATAATTCAAAACAACAATACAATGATGCTAATGATAGCCTGTAGGATGCAAAGATGTAGTCGTCCATGTATCTTTTCTTGAGGTTTTCCACGATGGCATCCTCTGTGATCTTGGAGAGCAGGACCATGTCATCCACTCCACTTTGCTTCACATTTTGACTCTGCCAGTGGTACTTGGCCTGAATCACACACCAGAGAAAGAAAGACATTGAAGTTGAAGATGAGATGAGGCTCCTTTTATCTTTATTCACTGGTCAGTAAAATCTTAACCCCATCGCTTTTTAAGATGAGTAACTGATACAAAAACATTACCAGGTCTTACAATACACATTTAAAGCTAATCTACCCAATTTCTTTTCAGCCTGGGGAGTCTAGTGAGAGTCTAAACAAGGTGACACCATAAGCTGCTCAGCTCTATGTCCCTCCCCTCACCCTCTTTCCTAGTGACGATGTGAACTACGAATGCCTAGTTACCACAAAATGTACAAAATGCAGCCCCCAGTCCGAAGCTAGCGGTAAAAAACTCTGGTTACTGCTAATGAGACACAAAGCTAAGCTAACACTAGCATTGTACAAAGCTCAAATTACTGCCAAATTAAAATCACATTAATTCAATACAAATGTAAAATAATGATTATGCTAGGTCACTAATATTACCAAAATAAACACATTAGCTTTAGATTCTAATTCATCCAGAAGGAAGAGCACCATATCTGGATCACAGTTGAGACTTTTGGCTGCTTTTAATGCTCTTCATCTCAAAAAGCCAAACCAATATTAATCCTAGTTTGTGTTTTCTTTCTTTTTTACTCCCACTCTCTCTACTACTCACAAACATTTCTTATAAAACCTTTGCTAGGTGGCAAATTTATGGACCAGACTTTGACACCACAAGGTAGAGAAGCTGGAATAACAACAGAAGCACTGTAGGTAGTTGAGTGGAATAGAGGGTTGTGTCCTGTCCCATTTCACTTATCAGACTATTTAAAATCTTAGTTACTGCATTTTCATTAAGTTGAGGTTACTTGTAATGAAGAACACTAGTCAGCCTGTGTATATATATATATGTATAGCCTGTGTATATATATATGGGTCTAGAGAAGTTCCCCAAGTCCAAATATAGTAACTCAATAATGTCATCAGGGCTGTTTCAGCCTGGAGACTGCACATTTTTTGCAGAAAGCATGTTACAAACTAGGGTTATTGAGTTTGAAAGACATTCTAATGATAAATACTACTGCATGGGAACTAAAGACTCCAGAGTTTTGGGGGCTTGACTTATATTTGAGAATCAATGTCAGTATAGCTCAGGCTGTGCTCATTCAATTTTAATGTGTTTTTTTTTCTTAATCCTGACTCTTACAGTGTGCAACCTTAAACTGTTGCACACTGTAAGAGTGTAATGTCCCATTAATTTCAAGTACACACTCCTAAAGTATGTTAGAAAAGAAAGAAAGAAAAGCAGATAAAGAAAGATACACAAATAAGCAAACAAAAAGAATGAAAGAAGACAAGGATGGACAAAAAACTAAGACAAAGTAAAAGGCAAACACAGTGACAGACAACAGTATAGATGCTTAATAAAAACACAACTCAGTGTGGTTGGCAATACAGGAAGTGGGGCTGGTTGTCAGGCAGCAGGTCTCAGATGAGGTGAGCTCATTTTCTAATTTGGACATTTAAGAGAAGTTACACCAAACTCCTTAATGTGCTGACTATGTAAATATCCTGGTGATGAAACATGAACAACTTCACAATAAAAATCTCCCACAGACATTTTAATACATAGGCTACAAAACACTACTCTTCTATGGAAAATATATAGTGTAACAGTTTTGTCTACAAAAAATAAAAATAAAAAAGTTCCTTATCTCTGAAAAGGGGCCTGAAATCATGTCTGGTAATGAATATTCAAGTATATTGCATCACACACTGCCCAGCATCACTGCTTCCCTCACATAAATAGTGAAATTACTGTCAGGATACTATGGCTGGAAGAGATTCAGAGAGATTCAGCCCTATATGTTAGAGCCTCATTCAAGTCAAGTCAAGTCAGTTTTTATTTGTAGACTACAGCCCAAAATCACAAATCCCATGTTTGCAACAGGGGGCTTACACTGATCAGGAGTCTGTTGTTCATCAGAATCTGTGATTGGCAGATGTCGCAGAATGGTTAAGTATAGTTGGCATCGTGTTCTTGTGTAGCATTAGCTGTTAGCTTGTATAATACAGAGTACTACTTGGTGTTAACTGTATAAAAGAGGTCTAAGCAAAATGTGCAAATGTAGTTACAGTCCAGCTGAGAGTGTTTATTTTCTCAATTGATCCAAAACATGATTCTAGTAACAGAGAAGTGGGAGTCTGGGTTGTTAGCAGTGAGCTAACTGTTAGCACTCACTTAGGCTACTACAAGGGAGCTAAATGAAATATTCCAATGAAAGTATGTCTCATATAAACTAACGTTAAAAAGTAAATTAATAGTGAACAGACACTCTAGGGTCTGGTTTACATCCAAAAACTGTGCACTCCGGCATATTTGCTGTCAAACAGATAAAACTTTGGCAATCACTCCTGGTTGCTGAAATGTTCGTTCTGGCTGCTCTGACACCAAAGGTTGCAGGTTTCTCACTGCATTCCCGAAATCTGCAGACATTTACGGGTGAAACATTACTGGCTATCAGATTTGTGGTGTCATAAATTTAGTTTACCTTCCCATGTTTGAAACTCAGATTTTAGGGAAGCAAACAGACATCCACCTTCTTCAGCAAAGGAATGTGAAAACAGCCTGTAGGTGATGTACCTGCACATACACCAGTCACTATAGTGGAGGACACAAACAGTATGTAGGGGGTACAAAAACATGAAAATAAACAGATTTTTGAATGAAGTCAACTTGTTTCCTGTATCTTGCTTTCCCTCAAAGATGCTGAACTGTTTGATGTGTGAAGCCTAACAAGTCTTGTTACTGGCATGGAGGTTGAGCTGTGGTCTGGGGCTTCAACCTACATTTACTGCTTTCACCTCACGGGAGGCATCTCAGACTGACACAAGGTTATACTATCACATCAGGCCATCACATTTGTGTCTGTTCAGCACAGGTGTTATTAGCATCACATTTAATGTTGCAGCTGGTAAAGGTGGAGATAATGTTAACTAGGCTACCTCATATGCTTACATATACTTAGTACTTTACATACTTAATACAAAGTATGAAAAAATGAAAATATTTGACTACAGATACCTCAAAACTGCTTTTCACCTCACATTCTCCTCTCATGAGTGATATGATTTACAAACTCCTTTCTAAGCCATGTTATTAGCCCTGACTAGGTCTCAGAACTTACATTTTTTTAAATCTGTAGCACTCACACTCATTGCAGGATGTTCTCCATTTATACTTCACCTCTGGGTGAAAACAGATCACTGTGCTGTCA